TATATTTGTTTAAAAAAAACACATTGAAAAACTGATTTGACTGTTGATTTAGTTGCGTTACAATGCCACAGTCCTCATTTAAGAAGCATGAGGATATTTATGAATTAATTTCATGATATTTGCAATTATATCTTGAAAAATAAATGTAAAACATTTTTAAAAATAAGAATCATTTTTCTATTTACTTAGTTATTTTTAATTAATTGAGATCAGAATATGGTTGAATGTATTTAGATAACCTTACACATTATTAAGTTATTATGCACTATAGCATCATATATGTAAACATATTCATTAAAGGGATAGTTCCCCTAAAATAAACATTATCATAATTTACTCACCCTGATGTTATTTCGAGCTTGTATGACTTTATTTCTTCTGCGGAACACAAAAGGAGATATTTTAAGAAATGTCTGTTTTTTTCATTTCTTTTTTTTAATCTATACAATGAAGGTCAATGACCTCCAAACGTTTGGACCCCATTGACTTCCACAGAAAAAGAAAAGCATACAGGTTTTGAATAGGGATGGGTCACGATTTTCTAATATTCGATTAGTTGATTTAATTATAGAATATCGAATAGGTTGTGCGATTTATTGTCTTAAAAAAATTTCCCATGTTTTCCGTGCTGATGCGGTGGTGACGCGTTCATGTGGCGCAACGCACCTAAAAGCTGTCAAAGACAACAGAAGAACACATTGTCTCACGCGCACACTGTAGACTTGCGTGGCATAAAAAAAGACTTGCGTAGCATATAATGGTTACAGTAACTTGGGACGATGTCAAATAAGAGCGCTGTGAGGACCACAAACACCCCCGCCTGGGTTAAAGGTGTATTCAGAAAGGTGCGAAAAACAAATAGCACGTTCTACGGAGCCACTAAAGAGACATGGTTACAGAGCTTACAGAGTAAGGAGAGATGACTGATAGGATGATGGCGAATGATTTGCAGATCCTGAGCACCACTGACAAACATCTAATCTTTAAAAATGTGTGGTAAGTACTGCCGAGTGCTGCTCTGTACATGTGATCGCGAATCTCGAAAGTGAAAGTAAAAAACAAGCTTGCGTTCATAAGTGATTTCAATGCCCCGCATATTAATAACAACTCCCTGATGCCTGCAGTTTACAGTATACAGTGTAATTACTAGAGCCCGACCGATATGGGTTTTTCGGGGCCGATACCGATATTAGGGAGTAAATAAAGGTCGATATCGATATATCGGCCGATATTCTTTGTGTATATTATAGTACAGTACCAGTCAAAAGTTTGGACACTTTCCCATTCGAGGGTCCAAACATTTGACTGGTATTATATATAGAATAAAGTATATACATAAACAATATATATATATACATAAACACATTTTTTGCAATGATCACTCAAATGTGGTGATCAAACACTTATTATGACGTGACAAAGATATATATACAATATAAATTCACGTCTCGCGCACTTTAATGCCCTTTGTTTGTAACATGTATGTTCCCTTGGAACTGGAATCATGGTGGAATTTCATGTGAAGTCCACTTCGCAGGGCACTTACGGTCGAATAAGACAATGCTTGAATGCGAAAGTGAAAGTGTTGATTGGTGTCACTATCTCGCGAACGCGCCGGCGGATCTCCACCAAATTCGGGGGATCCCTTCAGCTTGAGGAGCCCTCTCGACCCCCACCCCCCGTCCCGCCGGTGGCCCCCCCCCCCCCCCTCCTCCTTACTGAAGGGAAAGTGTTGACTGGTGTCACTATCTCTCGAATGCCACCCTCCGCGCGTCGGTAGCCCCCCGGGATCGCTTGATCGGTCGGCGCCGGACCACGAATTTAACCACCCGTAACTCCCGAACCCCGGGGGCTATCGACGCGGGGGTGGTCTCATTCGAAAGTGGGCCTCTAGACATGCACTCTATTCGCGTTCGAGAGGGTTCCTCGGGCTGAAGGGATCCCCAGAATTTGGTGCGGATCCGTCACGCCGTTACGGAGATATGGCCGTTCAAAGTTTCAGTGGTTTTCCATAGACTTAAGCCTTAAAGCGTTTTATCCAGGTCGCCAGTAGCAAACAATGGAGCATGCTCTGCTGGACAAACTAAGTAATTACACCCTTTCAAGCATTTTATCTGCGTTATATGTTCTGTAAAAAAAAAATACAGATATATCGGCAACAGGCTCATATCGGACAATAATATCGGCACAACGATATATCGGTCGGGCTCTAGTAATTACCCAACGATATAATTGCGACAGAAGATATTGAAGTATATTTTTCTTCACGTCTCGTACCTATTCCCTTTAGGGATTCAGTTTTTCGAAATGGAAATGTCCTAGCCTTATGAGCAGTTGATTTATGCGAATCGATGGACTGTTATGTTAATAAATGCCGTCATTCGGTCATGTTTATTATATTAATATGTTTCAGCATGTTACAATCATATGGCTTGAGTTAAGGTAGCCTATCTACTGAATTAAACAGTTTATCATACAGATTGAAAGAGTGAATCCCGTCTCTCTATGTTTATGGGTGTTTGTGTGTGCTTGCGGGGGAGGGGTGCGATTTGCGAATAATAATTGAATAATACCCAGCGATTTTCAAATATTATTTTTGCTTGGAATGCCCATCCCTAGTTTGGAATGACATTAGGGTGAGTAATTAAGTGAACTATCCTTTTAAGAGTGATAAGAGTTCTTCCAACAAATGTAATTGGATTATTTTATTGATTCGTTTGCTGGTTTTAGTTAAATTGTAGCCTTGTACTAATTGGTTCCCTTGTTTTAGTTAAATCGTGGCCACATTGTACCAATTTGGTGCCCTTGTTTAGTTAAGTCGTGGCCACGTTTTAACTAAAATAAGGGTATAAATTAAAAAGTTGTGGGAATGAATGCTTAATTTGTAGCGATGTTGACTTGTCATTTGCTGGATAAATAAATAACTCCTGTCAAATTAGGCAATAGTAGACACTGACTTGCATTTCTCAGGAGCTGTCTTTTTCTTTGGAAATGCAGTTGTACTGAAACCACAGGACCTCACAGTCAGGAAAAAACATCAACCACCCGAAACCAGCTACATCCAGCCTATGATAATAAAACCAGTGAGGGACGGTAGCTGGATCACATTCAGAGTTAATGTTGTTTTAGACCGTGTTGAAACTTGAACTGAAACCCACAAAATGATCAGTTATCAGATAAAAGCTTGGAGCGCTGCAAGCTTGGCTCTTATTTCAAGTTCCAGAATGCTTTTCATATTTCATAGTTTATCTTCCTTGCAGTTCTGTGTGAGTTTGTTCACTGAATACTAAACAGTGGAATATGAAAGAGCATTCTAGATTTCTTTAGGATAAATTCTCCATGATTCTTGGTCTTGGTGGACGAAAGGGGTATTTACACAACACCGTTTTTAACTAAACACTGAAACGGTTTTATGTCTTTTGGCCGTTCTTTTAGACAACAACAGCATTTCCCTTACGAAAATTAACCAGCGTTTTATTATAGTAAAAGTATAGTAAGAGCTGTAGTTCTACCCCCACAAGATTGCGATACTGTTTGCGAATATTTGTTGGAATTATTGTTTCGTTAAAAACATCGAATTGTTAAACTATGTTGCTAATGAGGGAACTTGCGATCATAGTTGGCTAACAATGCTTTTAGGAAACCCATCCCAGATTGGCTGTTCATTATGGAAGCCCATTTTCGCCACTGAATAAAAAAAAAAAAAAAATTAAATTACGAGTTTACATCTCACAATTCTGACTTTTTTTCTTAGCATTGCATGATATAAACTCACAATTGCAAGTTATAAAGTCCAATTCTGAGGGGGACAAAAGACTATGTTCTCAGAATTGTGAGCTTATATCTCATAATTCTGACTTTATTTCTCGCAATTGCAAGTTTATATCCCACTATTCTGACTTTATAACTCGCAATTGAGTTTATATCTCACGATTCTGGCTTTATTTTTCAGAATTACAGCTTTTTTTTTCCTCAGAATTGTGTGATATAAACTCGCAATTGCGAGAAATAAAGTAATTGTTGCAAGATAAAAACTCTCAATTCTGACTTTTTCTTGCAATTGTGAGTTTATATCACGCAATACTGACTTTATAACTTGCGACTGCGAGTTTATTTGTCAATTCTGAGAAAAAAAGTCACAATTGTGAGATGTAAACTCGCAATTGCGAGAAATAAAGTCAGAAGTGTGAGATATAAACTTTTTTTTTTAATTCAATGGCGGAAACGGGCTTCCACAGTTCAGCTTTGCAGACTAGTACACAAGACAAAAAATCGGTGAAAGTGACAAAGTAAACAAAATGCGTAGCGTTGCTTTGTTTATGGTTTGTATATTCGCAGTCCTAGCACTTACGGTTTCCTTTTTTTAGAGTGACGCATACAAACTACTGCCACCTACTGGTATTAAGAGTAATTTCCTCTCAAGCAGGTGCAGAACATGCATACGTCATTGACTGTTGTCTTTGTGTTGTGTTCAAACATAACCAGTTGGCTGAGATGTAGTTGACATGAAGCGACACCACAGACAGCTTTCTTCACCGCTAGTTTGGTTTGCTGTATCTGGTCCTTAATATGGATGAATAACTACAGAAAAAGCACCAAAGTACGGAAGTTCTAAGCGGCCATGCATTATTATTTTTTCCTTCTTGTTGGCCGCTTAGAACTTCCGTACCAAAGTGCACCAGCTTGTAATAATTTGCAGGCTTTAGTTGAAATGTAAATTTGAGAGAGTGAGACTTTGGACTTCTTATATGCTAATTTCAACAAAGCACCACTGACAAACATTATGTCCTACGAATCCTTTCCTAAACATACATTAACCCTTTAGGCGCCAGGGTTTTTTGGAAAAAATGCTGGATTTTGGCATCAAGATTTCAAAAGCTTGTGGCTTGAAAGGGCTTAAGGCCTGAAGAGGATCTTTGTCGTGTCTATAATAGAAATCGGTGAATCTGTATGCAGTGGGAGGTTTGTCTGTATTGATGGCGCTGCTGGTTTCTCTTCAGGTGTGGCGAGAGGTTGAAGAGGAGTGAAGGAATGACTGAATATAAGCTGGTGGTGGTGGGCGCTGGAGGCGTGGGCAAGAGCGCTCTCACCATCCAACTCATCCAGAACCACTTTGTGGATGAATACGACCCCACTATAGAGGTAACACTTGTGTGTGTGTGTGTGTGTGTGTGCATTGAGTGATCTTATCCAGTAATATATACGTATCAGCTATATATAAAATATCATCAGGGCATTGTGGTTGATATCAATAACTGTACTTTTTGTGTTTTTACCCTATCAGCTGCAGCTGTTAGACAGTTATAACTGATTTATTTGCCAATTTCTATTTCTATTTGACATTAATTTTATAATTCATGAAATTAGGAAATTAGGAACTGTAACAACATCATACAATAGTATAGTGCTCTGTCATATATCATTATAAAGGTCAGCAGTGCTGTTGCAGATAGTTACAGTATTTTGTCCATGCAATAGGAGTTATGACCCAATGTTGTTTTGACCCCATGTTCTATGAAATATCTTTTTATTGTAGCTGCATTATTGTATTAGATTTTTAGCTACACATTGTGTCGTCATCGTCTTTTTTCCATTTCATGATGGATGGCAGTCAGTGTTAAGGTGCAATACTGCCACCTACTGTGTTGGAGTGTCAACCAGTTACTGGCACTGGATTATTGCGGATAATCATACGATTGTTTTTGTATGTGCAATATTAACATCAATATTTCACTTTTTAAATATCATGGTTATCGTCATTGTGACGTCCCTAATCCACGGTATATCAGGCTTTCTCGTAGGGCTGTAAAAATTCGGTAACTCTTTACAAATAGGGTTTCATACATTACCATTACTTAATTACATTAATTAACACAAACTAACAACGAATACCACTAATCTTAATTTTAACTTTTTCAACAGTTATCAAATATCTGTTTATATTATTTAATGAACCTGAGCTAATATGAACTAACAATGAACAGCTGTATTTGTTTTAACTAACATTAACAAAGAATTTAATTTATAAATACTGTAAAAAAAAAAAAGAAAAAAGATTTCTCATTGATCTTAATGTTAAAAAAATAGCTGAATATTTAGTAAATTGAGTACATTTTCAGCAGCTTTTCATTTTTAGGTGAACTATCCCTTTATGTGAGTTAACTCATAGGGCTGGGTATCGATTCAGATGTCCCGATTCGATTCGCAAGCTTTCAATTCGATTCCCGATTTTTTGATTACATTCAGTGAATATAGTTTTTAATACAAATGCTAAAAATGAACAGTAAACATCAGATTACAAATGGTGAAGTAATAAAAAGAAATTAAGAACCACAGGCCTGTATTTTAAACCTATTCTTTTTTTGTAGCGGGTCCTTTTTTAAACGATAATAGGGCCCTATAAAATGTTCTTAATTTTTCTGGTAATCAGATGAAGGCATAAAACATTAATTTAATTTATCCTAATCAAATGAAAATTAAACCCTTTTATTTTTTGGCAAACAAAGTGCTGCACAACAGAGGTTTAGTGTTAAAATTAAAAAGAAAACAGATGTGATAATTCCTTTAAAAATAAAGATTTATTAATATTTATTAGCAGTAGTAGCATTGAGTCTTCAGACTGCTAAATAGTAATATATTCTGACAGTTTCTTAACGTTAAACTAAACTTTTATTTTGGCGGGTTGCCGTGAAGAACTTGCAGCTGCTGTGTATGTGATATGACGGTAGATTTCTCAAATTAAACAGTAAAATGCTAATGAAGTGACTCTCAGAGCAGCTGGAGATGACATTCGTGTTCATATCGTCATATAGAGAGACGGCAGAAGCTGAAAACACCGCGAGCGTCATCTGCACTTTAGTATGTGTGTAGTAAACAAAACAGTGCGCCATCCGCCATTCATTCATTGCGGAAATTATGGCGCCTTATGCGTGATCAAATGTTTGTGCAGATTTATAGTATTACTATAGTATTTCACCTGAGCATTGCGAATGACGCGTATGGCCATGACAAGCGCTAAATGAATGACAGGCTTTCTGATGTAACATCGCGCAAGGTAAATAAGGGTGATATCTAGTGAAGAAGACTAATGAAAAATTCACATTAATCAGATCTTGTTTTAAATGTGTGCTGAAATAAATACCGGAAAAGATCGATTCGCGGCTTTTGAGAATCGATATCGAATAGACGTCATTTAAAAAAAAAAACGATTAATCGAAAAATCGATTCATAAAGTTAAAAATGAAAATTCTGTCATTAATTACTCACCCTCATGTCGTTCCAAACCCGAAAGACCTTTGTTCATCTTCGGAACACAATTTAAGATATTTTTGATGAAGTCCAAGAGCTCTCTGATCCTCCCATACACCGCAAGGATCCAGTGCCATTTTGGAGAGTATCCACTGAACGTAAACGACGCATGCATCGTATGTACGTTGTTAACGCTTTCATCTGAACGAAAACATCGTATCTGCGTACATACGATGCATACTCTCCAAAATGGCGCTATAGGGCGCAACAAATTGTTGTTATTTTTGTTTTCTTTGTGCACAAAACGTATTCTCGTAGCTTCGTAAAATTACAGTTGATCCACTGATGTCACATGGATTCTTTTATTGATCCCCTTGCTACGTTTCTGAGCCTCCTCGAGTAAGGATCCTTGCTGTCTATGGGAGGGTCAGAGAGCTCTCGGATTTCATCAAAAATATCTTAATTTGTGTTCCGAAGATGAACGAAGGTCTTAATTTTAATTCTGGGGTGAACTAACCCTTTAACTAATGGAACCTTTTGTTCGATTTTATTCTGGTACATCCTTAGCTTTCTTGTACTCTACGTTATGCTTTACTAAACTGACCAGTGGTCCGTCTCTTCACTATCTCACAACATCACTGGGCAATGAATAAACTCCAGCCCCACCATTCACTGATTCTGTCTGTGTTTCTCCGCACACTCAGTGTCAAATAAACCGCAGGAGTTTCCCCTCGGCCTGCGTTTGCTCTCAGCGTGAGGGATGTGTGTGTGTGTGTACGTGCTTCTACACGTCCCTCGCTTTCTCTGTCCTCTTTTCCCGCCACGCCCGTCTCTGGACAAACAATGTCCTTTTTATGGCTCAATCGCTGTGCGCTAACACACATGTGTCTGACAGGACACAACTCAACCATCTCCACTGTCTGTTTACTGTTTCAGTCCCTGTCGCTTTGTCCTCAAAGTCCTTAATTTGTCACATAAAAAAAAAGAAAGACGTTTTAAAGACATCAAATCATGTCCATGTGTGTGAAATAGCTGAAGCTAATTGGCTACTGAGTAAGAAATAAACAAGAAATGGTGAATGAGTTTGAGTTTGGTGTTGATTTGTCTGCAGGACTCCTACAGGAAGCAGGTGGTGATTGATGGGGAGACGTGTCTCCTGGACATCTTGGACACTGCAGGTCAGGAGGAGTACAGCGCCATGAGGGATCAGTACATGAGGACAGGAGAGGGCTTCCTCTGTGTCTTTGCCATCAATAACACCAAGTCCTTTGAGGACATTCATCAGTACAGGTGTGTGTTTGAAAATCAGCTGTCGGGCTGAAACGCTTTGTCTCTGTTTGGAATTTGTCCTCAAAATATCTCTTCAATATCCTTTGCATTTCTTCAGTTTTATCTCGAAGCAAGAAAATGGATATCAGAATAAAGTTTGGTTGAAAAAACATTATAATTTTTTTTGCAGTGGTAACTTTAAGACTTCTATATGCAAGTAACTTCTGTTATGATTGACCTTTTTTCAATTACAAGGGCAAATGTCATTGTGTTTTGGTTGTGATCATGTTTGAAAATGCGGTTTATAAGCGCAGTCACATTAGCAAAATTTCAGCTAATTTTTTGTAAGCAAAACAGGTCCATTGCTTTTGGCTAGCAATGTTTGAAGCACAGGTCACAGCATTCATATTTAATTCAAATTAATTTCATATGAAATTCCTAATTGCATAGTTTTATATAGCCTCCTGACTACCAGGAAAAAAGTTTTGTGAATTTAGTTTTTTGTTAACGTCGTTACATTGTTTAGAGCATAAGTAAAAAAAAATATATATATATATATTAAAATTATATTTTATTCATATGTTGTGCCAAGTCCTCTGTAGAGAAAAGTCCTGGGGGTTTTTTTTTTATAAAAAGACATGAATAAACATGAAAAGGCAAAAACAGTGGGATTTTTGTTTTAATCACAAATCAATTTTAATTTTTTATACCAAACTTTATATAAAGATAATTCTCAACTATGTTATGAAAGATATAACAGAATGATTTGATATACAATTTTTCTTTAGCCAAAATGTGTGTAAAATGACCATAAATGGGATTTCCAAGTATAAACAATGTATCTATAAACTGTATCTAATTTGCATATTAATGTGTTTTTGGGGCAAAAAAAAAAAAGTGTAATAACGGGAGTAATAATTGGCAAGATTTTCATAATAATACGTAATATTTCATAGAAATTTTGAAATATCATTTCTTTCTCTATTAATTTGTTGTGTCTCCCAAAATGTGTAATAAACATGCTTTAAGTCCTGGTGTCCTCTACAGTGGACATCTGTGAAGCTGATGTCCAGTTTCATAACAGAAAGTCATATTTATGATTTGAAACCCCATAACATTTTCCTGAGATGTTGATTTATGAAAATTAGTCAGATTTAAATGATCATTACAAAATATTATCATATTTCCATAAGAGTGTTACACTTGATCACTAAATTAATGTCAGCCATGTTTAAAGACCAAGGAGAGGGAGTGGTGAGGGTGAAACATCCAATCATCTGGTGTCTCTGGAAAGCCCTGAATGTGCTCTGTACAGGACATCCAGACATACAGCTGTGGCATGTGAGGTCTCAGAGAAATCACTAAAAACGAATGTCCTCTACAGAGGACAAACTAGTCAGGAGGATAGAGATTACTGGATTTCGCACTTGTAAATTCACTGAAATTTTCATTTATTTACACAGTACATTAAAATTATTTATCTCATTTAAAAAAAAATCTCATTATCCATGATGCAACCTGTCAAGAATAAGTTCAGGTTGTATTTCACGCCAAAATCAAAAGACAAAAATAAGAAATTATATTTTTAAAGAAACTGAAGAATATTTTTTAGACCATTATGATTTGTCACATTATTTTCATGACATGAAACACCAATTTTTATTACCATAATGCACAAAATCTCTTTCTCATTACTGCACTCTGAACAAAAGTAATGATATATTAGTTAAAAAGTAAAGTATTCATGCATCACGGAAGTATTTGTTGTACTGCTTTGAATTAATTTAGAAAAATGCATTTTGTATAATTAATGCATTTTTTTGCATATATATATATATATATAAATACATTTTAAAAACATTTATATTATTTATTTATTATATATTTATTTTATATACGTATATGATTTAAATTATAATTAAAGTTGAGAGAAGAGATGTCATTGCAAAGAAAATTATTTTGATTAAAGATTACAAGGGCACATGAATTAAAAAAATAATAGTGTGCATGAAAACATTGTTTATAATAAACAATATACCATAAAATTAAGAATATTAATTTTTAATTTCTTGGTGACTTTAACGCTATCTGTCTGTCTGTCTTTCTGTCCTTCTTTCTTTCTTTCTTTCTTTCTTTCTCTCTCTCTCTTTCTTTCTCTCTCTCGCTCTCTCTCTCTCTCTCTCTCTCTCTCTCTCTCTCTCTCTCTCTCTCTCTCTCTCTCTCTCTCTCTCTCTCTCTCTCTCTCTCTCTCTCTCTCTCTCTCTCTCTCTCTCTCTCTCTCTCTCTCTCTCTCTCTCTCTCTCTCTCTCTCTCTCTCTCTTTCTTTCTTTCTTTCTTTCTTTCTCTCTTTCTCTCTCTCTTTCTTTCTTTCTTTCTCTCTTTCTTCCTTTCTTTCTTTCTTTCTCTCTTTCTTTCTCTCTTTCTTTCTTTCTCTCTCTCGCTCTCTCTCTCTCTCTCGGTGCATGCTGGGGGTGTTTGGGGTGCGTGTGAGGGTGCTAACGGGGAGAGGACGGGTGTTTTGGGGTTTTTTCAGCCTATATATCTACGTATATCTACCTATTTTTTTCGTTTTTCTAATCATTTGAATGATTATTTTCTTTCAAAAATAACATTAGATTTTTTTTGTGAGTGTTTTGGAACTTTTCAGGCGGCATTGGGATGGCGTCTACCCCCGCGGGGGTGGCGTCACCTGTGTCGCTCCGCCATGGAGTCAGGTGTGTAGCGGCGCAGGGAGTCACTGTTGAAGATGTGCTGCTAGCGATCGGAGAAAAAGTTGGATATGAAAACATTACTTCGGCATCCAGGATGAATAAATCAGTAGTGGTGTTTGTTGAGAAAGAGGATATAGTTAACCGGTTGGTAAGCGACAGAATTGTGGTAAGTGGTGATTTTCTTATAATTTCACCGCTTGTTACTCCAACGACTAGAGTTACGATATCCAATGTGCCTCCTTTTATTCGGAATGATGAAATTGAGAAGGCTTTAACGCGATATGGTAAATTGGCTAGTGAGATTAAGATGATTCCACTGGGGTGTAAAAATGCAGCTCTGAAACATGTTATGTCTTTTCGGCGACAGGTGTTTATGTTCTTAAAGGAATCAGAGTTGGACATTTCGTTCAGAGTGTTGCATGAAGGGAAAGCGTATGTTATTTACGCGAACATTGGAAGCATGAAGTGTTTTGAGTGCGGGGACATCGGGCACAAAAGGCACGCATGCTCGCATAAGGCCCAGGTTAGTGAAGTGGAAGTTAGGCCTAGTACTTCTGCTACTGGTGAGAGTAGTAAGTCAACGTCTGAGCATGTGCAGCCTCAAGCTCCATCACAGAGAAACACGGATAGTGATGGATTGATGGAAAGTCAGACTGAGGATGTTAATGAAATGGTTGATTCTGGTAGAAATCACTTTGTTTCTGAAGTAGATGGTAATAGTGTAAAGAATGATGATGCAGCTACGGTTAGTGTTGAAAGGGTTTCTAATGATAATTCTGAAATGTCTAATTCTGCTGAAATGTGTACTGAGGTCGATCTGGAAATGAGAGATGATGATACGTTCTCTGAGATATCGGACATTGGATCACAGTGTGGAAGTGTGGAAGATGTATATACATTGCAAGATATAAATGACTTTCTAGATGCAACCTTCGGTAGAAATATTGAAGTTAAAGATTTCTTTCCAGATGTAGATAAATTCATTTATACAGTAAAATTGTTGCAGAGAAATGTCAGCTATGAGGCTTTAAGCAAACAGAAAAGGTTTAGACTGAAGAAGATGTTAACAAAACTAAGAAAGGACAAAGCAACTGTCTCACAAAACAAATCAAATGTTTAAATCACATGGGGTTAAGATCTTGTTCTGCCTTTCTTTTCTTTTTCTGTCCTCTCTATATTTTTTCCTTTTCATGGAGCTGTTGAGGGTGGGCTCTTTAAATATAAATGGGGGTAGAGATGGAAATAAATTGGCAATGGTATCAGAGTTATTTAGTATTAAAAAGATAAATGTAGCATTTTTACAAGAAACACATACTAATTTAGACAATGAATCTGAATGGATTAGATGGTGGGAGGGGAAAAGTGTTTTAAGTCATGGGACAAACACAAGTGCTGGCATAGCCATTTTGTTTTCTAAAGAAATGAATGTAAATATTTTAGTTGTAGAAGAAATCGTAAAAGGAAGAATATTGCTGTTAAAGGTGGAATATGAGGGATCTGCGTTTGTATTGATAAATGTTTGTGCACCAAATAATGGACCGGAGCGTGTGAAGTATTTTTTAAAGTTAAGGAATGCTATTCTGAAAATTGATGATAATGTTTGCACTATTATTGGAGGGGATTGGAATTGCACTGTTGATTTTATTATTGATAGAAATGGAGAAGAACCCCATCATGGATCCAGTTGTGTATTGTCAAATATTTTAAAAGAGTTCGAATTAATAGATATTTGGAGAAGAAGAAATATAGGAATTAAACAATATACCTGGCTTAAAGTCTTTAATAGTGTGGTTAGTGGAGCTAGATTAGATAGATTTTATATACGTAAAGAATGGAATAATAAAATTACTGATGTTTCTATTTTACCTGTTGGGTTTTCTGATCATCATTTGCTATTGTTTGGTTTGAATATGAAAAGAACGTCAAAGCCAAATTATTTTTGGCATTTTAATATCAAACTATTGCAGGATGCTTTATTTTGTGAACATTTTAAATTATTTTGGAATAACTGGAAGTTAAGAAAAGATTCTTTTGAAAATTTGTGTATGTGGTGGGAGGTTGGTAAAGCAAATATAAGAATCTTTTGTCAAAATTATAGTTCACATTCTACTTCTGTGGTGAAAACAGCTATACAAAAACTTCAAAGAGATATACAAGCTTTGGAGAATATGCTTGTGAATAATAACAATGATGGAAATGTTCAAAATGAATGTCTGGAAAAAAAGAAGGAACTTGGCTCATTATTACAAGAACAAGTGAAAGGAGCGTTAATAAGAGCAAGGATTTGTTCCATTAAAGACATGGATGCTCCTTCTTCATATTTCTTTAATCTTGAAAGGAAAAGTGTCCAGCAAAAGCAAATGTATCATCTTCGCCGGCCTGATGGAGTCATAACATCTGACCCAGTGGAAATAAAGAAACTGGCAGTTAGTTTTTATACAGACTTGTATGGTGCCGAGTATTGTGATCCGGAATGTGCTTCTGATTTGCTGAGTGATCTACCGAAGCTGACAAATGAACAGAAAAATTCTTTAGATCAACGGATTACATTTCAGGAGATTACTGAAGCAATGAGACAGTTATCAAATGGCCGTTCTCCAGGAATTGATGGACTACCAGCAGAGTTTTATCAGTCATTCTGGAATGTACTTGGAAATGACTTGTATGAAGTATTATTAGAGAGTATGAAGAACAAGCTACTTCCTATAAGTTGTCGAAGGGCAGTCCTTTCTTTGCTCCCTAAAAAGGGGGATTTATGCCTTCTAAAGAACTGGAGACCTGTTTCTTTACTGTGTATGGACTATAAAATACTTTCAAAATGTTTAGCAAATAGGCTGAAACATACTTTGGAATTATTGGTTCATAGAGATCAAACATATTGTATCCCTAATAGGTCAATTGTGGACAATCTTTTTTTGTTAAGAGATGTAATTGATTTTAATCAATTTAATAATGTTGACCTGGGTGTGCTTTCGTTAGATCAAGAGAAAGCTTTCGATAGGGTCAATCATACATATCTTTTGGAGGTTTTAAGGAATTTTGGGTTTGGAAAAGATTTTATATCATACGTTCAACTGCTGTATTCTGAAGTTTTTGTGATTGTGAAAGCTGGTGGAGGGTTGAGTGCACCAGTACCTGTATTAAAAGGAATTAGGCAAGGCTGTCCACTTTCGGGACAATTATATAGCCTTGTTATTGAGCCATTGTTGTGCAGACTAAGAAGGAATCTTAGTGGAATTTATCTTCCTGATGTAAATAATATGTACAGAATATCGATATCAGCTTATGCTGATGATGTTACTGCTTTTATTTCTGATCAAAATGATGTTAATATTTTAATAGAAGCTATTGGACAATATGAGAAAGCATCATCAGCAAGGGTAAACTGGGGAAAAAGTGAGGGACTTATTATTGGTCAGTGGAAAAGTGGGCAAGGACCTCCAAAATTACCAGGTGGATTGTTGTGGGCAAGAGATGGATTAAAAATGTTAGGTGTTTTTTTTAGGAAATACACAATTTCAGAATAAAAATTGGGAGGGAATGCTGGAAAAGGTGTCTGCCAGATTGCTCAAATGGAAATCGCTGTTACCGCTAATGTCATACAGAGGAAGAGTTCTGGTTGTAAATAACTTGGCTGCCTCAACTTTGTGGCATAAACTTATTGTAATGGAGCCACCTGAAGAATTGATTTGTAAAATACAGAAGACATTTGTGGATTTTTTTTGGAGTGGAGAACACTGGATTCGTGCAGCTGCACTCTACCTTCCCCTTTGTGAGGGAGGTCAAGGTCTGGTGGATGTGCGGAGTAGGATCTGCGCTTTCAGAATACAAGCAGCACAGAGATTCCTGTATCATAAAAACTTGGCTTGGGCTCAGACTGCAAAAATGATTCTACAAAAAGCAGGTGGTCTTAAGTTGGATAGACATCTGTTTTTAATGGAACCTGTCCGAGGTTACATCTTTTTATCGGTCAATGTTGCACTCTTGGAGGACTGTTTTTAAAGTGGAAAGAGATGTTGACGAACCCGGGAGATGGATACAGGAGGAACCGTTGTTTTTTAACCCAGTGGTCCAGACAAGACTTTTGTCATCTGCAAGTGTGTGTGCATGTTTACAAAGACATGGTATTGTGAAGCTGGGACAACTTTTAAAAAAAGACCAATGGGAATCAGTGGAAACTCTGAAAGAAGTAACAGGCTTAAAGTCCTCGCGCTTGACTGAAAAGCTGGTGGAAGAAATTATAAATGCATTACCAAGTGGCTATAGGAAAAATATGGGACAAGGATTTCTATCAGATATGAGAAGTGAACTGGACTTTCCAAAAATAAGAGTTGCTGCTGTCGTCCACGAAAAGCAAGAGGATGAACCAGCAGGTTCAATTTTATCTTTTGGAACTCCAAGGTTGGACTCGTTTGAAATCACATCAAAGAAAGCCATATATAATGCTACAGTCAAGGTTTTGCATCAAGATTCGCTTAAAGGACAAAAGATCTCAAAGTGGCCAGATTTGTTGAAGCCAGAACTTCTAGTGAGAGACAGGTGGAGAACCCTGTATAAACCACCAGTGGAGAAGCGGACAGCGGATCTACAATGGAGGATTATTCACGGGGCAATCGCAACAGACAAACATGTGGCGCACCTGAACCCAGCGGTAGGGGTGGGATGTAGGTTTTGTGGAAAGGAAGAGAATTTGGAGCATTTGTTTTTAAAATGTAAAAGATCGGAAGGTCTTTTTGACGTTCTTAATAGATTGTTTCAAGCTTTTGGTGAAGATTTCTCAGAACAAGTTTTTATAGGTGGTGTGAAATAGAATTTTTTAGAAAGAAGGAAGATGTGTCTGTTAAATTATTTACTAGGTACTGCGAAACTGGCAATATGGAAAACCAGAAAAAACCAAGGGTTACAGTTTAATAGTACTAACACTGAAGTGATGTTCATGAAATTAGTAGCTGGTAGACTAAAAATAGAATTTGCATACTATAGTCTTGTAAATAATGAGATGGTTTTCAATGATATGTGGTGTGTTAATGATGTTTTGTGTATGGTTAATGATGGACATTTGGGTTTGAATTTTTAAATCTTATATTTATTATGTGAGTTGTTAATGTGAAGATTGTTATGAGATGTTTTTCAAATAAAGTTCTGTAAACCTCTCTCTCTCTTTCTTTCTCTCTCTCTTTCTTTTTCTTTCTTTCTTTCTCTCTCTCTCTCTTTCTTTCTCTCTCTCTTTCTTTTTCTTTCTTTCTCTCTTTCTCTCTCTCTCTTTCTTTCTCTCTTTCTCTCTCTCTCTCTTTCTTTCTGTCTCTCTCTCTTTTTCTCTTTCTTTCTTTCTCTCTCTCTTTCTTTCTTTCTTTCTCTCTCTCTCTCTCTCCCTCTCTTTCTTTCTTTCTTCCTTTCTTCCTTCCTACCTTCTCATTTTGGTCTGAAATATGACCTGGAATAATTTAAGTTACTAAGGCCAAGAGCCAAAGCTGATGTGTTAAACTGCAAATTACACAAAGAAGTGTATGTTATGTGAAGTGTTATGTGAGCACATCAACCCTGTGACCCCTGAAATCATGTTAGCATTGATTCTGATTCAGATCCTTAAATTGCATCTTTGCCTGGGCATCCGTCGCAAAATATTCAGTATTTGTGCTTGAGAGGACAGCAGAAAGTGAGATGGAGTATGATGGTGCAGTGCCAGTGAAATCGATCCCAACTCAATTAGACTGAGAGAGAGAGAGAGAGCGCTTTCAAGGACATGAAAGATAACTGGATTACATCAATCTGTTTGTGGGTAATGGGGTCTAGATAATGTATTTTAATACATGAAGTACAGTACAACATGGGGAATAGTAGTGCACTGTTTAATATCAGACGCAGATGGCAGTTGATAATCAGTTTGCATTATATATACACTATCAGTCAAAAGATTTTTAAATGTTTTTGAAAAAAGTCTCTTATGCTCATTATTAATGAGCACCAATAATAAGCAGCAAATCAATATGTTAGAATGAAGGATCATGTGACACTGAAGACTGGAGTTTTGTGTGCTGTGTGTTTTGTTGCTTTAAATGCTTGAGCTCTTTAAAGCCGGATGGATTCTGATTGGCTGTCATTGTTTTTATCATTTTTATCAACTGGGGAAAAAAACACTTTTAATGTGATTTTAACGGTATCTCTCCTCTGTGTCATTATCAGTATAGTTTTTGTGTGGATTTCCCAATCCTCAAAGAGCGCTTATAGTTATCATTGTTGTCTTTGGTGAGAACGGACATTTAGTTTACTAGAGCTGTCATATTGAACTTCGTACAGCACTGGTTGTGTTTGAGCGTGACGCTTTGTGTTGCTCTCAGGGAACAGATCAAACGGGTGAAGGACTCGGATGACGTGCCCATGGTGCTGGTGGGTAACAAGTGCGACCTCCCGGCCCGGACGGTGGACACACGGCAAGCGCAGGAGCTCGCACGCAGCTACGGGATCCCCTTCATCGAGACCTCAGCCAAAACACGACAGGTCAGTCCGTTTCTGACAGGCATTTAAAGAATCATAGATTTCATTGAGCTATTTTTTTATTTACTTGCAGCAAAACTAGTGAGACTGTGTCTGGTGTCGAAATTTCCTAAAGTATAGTCATCTGAGTAAACTGTCCAAAATTACTGACCCACCTACAACACAGTATTTCTGACTCGGGTTATTTCAAATCTTTTTCTGTTCTTTGTTTTTGCTTTGTTTTGTTGTTTTTTTTTAGCTTTTCTTTGTTTGTTTGTTTTAGTTTTTAAGTACACACACACACACACACACACAGAGGGTGTGTTGTATAGCGCTGCAGGGAATGACTCACTGCCGCTTTGTGTTACTCAGACCTTAATCGCGTCTGGTTTGTTACTGATTTGTGATGTGTGTGAGTTTCCCGAATCTCTCGATAGCACCAGCATTGGTTGGCGTTTCTCCTGGTGTGTGTGCAGGGTGTGGAGGACGCGTTTTACACGCTGGTGCGAGAGATCCGTCAGCACAAGATGAGGAAGCTGAACCCTCCGGATGAGAGCGGACAGGACTGCATGAGCTGCCGCTGCGTCGTGTCGTGATCCAGGTGCCAAAACAGCCAGACTGACGAGACACCGCTAACACAATGACATAGCACACTGGAAACGAGTCCAAATAAACCACAAATCAACACTAACAATCACAGAATTGCTGAGAAAGAATTGTGAGAGAGAAATATTACATTTATTTATTTATTAGTGGTGTTTGTTTGCTAAAGCAAGCATCACTGTTACTCTTATTGTCACTTTTTAGTAAAAAATATTTTATAAATGTACATGATGGGATTTATGAACACCGCCATTCAAAAGTACAATTATTTTAAATGTTTTTTTAAAGTATCTTCTGCTCACTAAGGCTGTATTTATTTGATCAAAAATACAGTGAAAACTGTAATATTCTGAAATATTATTGCAATTTTAAAAAGGCTGTTTTCTACATGAATGTATGTTAAAAAGTTATTTATTCCTGTGATGCAAAGCTGAATTTTCAGCATCATTGCTGATTTGATTTGTTTTCAAGAAACATTTCTGCTTATTATTTGATAAATAGAAAGAACAAAAGAACAGCTTTTATTTAAAAACTAAAATTTAACATTATAAATGTCTGTACGGTAATTTTTGATAAATTTAATGCACTCTTGCTGAAGAACTTGATACTTTTATTAAAAATAAAAAAAATTCTACTCACCAGAAACTTTTTAACAGTAGTGTAATTCACCTCAAGAAGTCTATACATTTTTAAATATATATGTAATTTTTAAAATATCAATGTTATTGTATTTATGTGTTTACTTATTTAAAATTCATTATTCTTAACAATAATAATCATTATTATTATTATTCGTAGTATTATTGTGTAGTCACTTGAAAAAAACTTCTTTAGCTGATAACATGACTGTATAATAAAAAATAATACATTAATTTAGCATCCATTGTTTTCTTAAAACTTAAAAAAACTGTTTCACAAAATTGTGAAATATGAATTATGTTATAATTATTATTATTTTTGGCATATCATATGTGATATTTACTGTTTATTTATATAAATAAAAACGATTTATATAGAGACTTTTATAATGACCAACACAAATTGGGTTTTTATTACTGTAATATATGCATATTATTGAATTTTAAAGTTTATACATTATAATTGTATTTGTTGTACTGTACTGGCTTTAATTTATTAATAAAAATAGATATTGATTTTTGTAAACTTCAGTAAATAATTCTGTAAAAATGTATTGCAATACTGGAAAGAAAAATAAAACGAAAAAGTAAAACAGTCAGACACATTATGGTATTTTTGTCATTACATTAATGAGAATTGACAGCAAAATGACCAATTTTATTGGTACAAAAAAAGCAAAGCATGATTTTTCTGTTGATTTTGCAGTGAAATATGACGCAGATCTTGACCTTCCTGTTTTCTGGTCCTCAGCTGATGGGAGAAGTTTACCCATGGTTCTGTGCGGCAGACTGGACCAGAGAGGGAAGACGTGGCGTCTCATCTGAAAGCACGCCAGGCCTCCTGCGTAACGAACATTAGCGACAGGACCGGTGACCTCTCTGGACTGATAAACACCACTAATGACTGACTCCTTTCTTCTCTTCATTTGTGGCCCCAGTCTGCTAACGCTGGGCGCCTCTGGATTTCTGCTGAATTATTGTTCTTGAAGTCTCGACACTGGTCTGAAACGGACTCGGCACGTCACATGACCTCAGCGTCTCACACAAACCTTCCTCCGCTCCGACGGACCGACTGGACACTAGTGACCTCATCCCTCGACCCCCGTCCCGCCGCACCTCATGGAAAGCATATATATATATACACATATATGTATATATGTATGTGTGTGTTCTTGTCTGTCGAAAAGAGCGGAAACTCTTGTTTTTTGCTTGACGTGCAGGTTGTTTTAACATAATGTTTGTGGAGATCTAACGGGAGCATTAGTTCTGTGTGCTGGTAAATGTGTGTGTTACGAACGAGCGTTTCCATTAGAGAATTAAACAGGCCGACTGAATTTTCCAAAATAAAAACTCACGAGTTGTTTGAAGAAGCTTGTGTTTGTTTTGAAATTCTGTCTGTAGAAATCTTATGATATTTAAAAGATGGTTCCTAACAGTTACCTCAATAAACGTAAAAAAAAAAAAAAACTTTACAATGTAGAAACTAGTGCTGTCAAACGATTAATCGCGATTAATCGCATCCAAACCGCATTTTTGTTTACATAATGCATATGTGTTTATTTATTATGTATATATAAATACACACGCTTACAGTATATATTTTATATATATTATTTACATTTATGTTTATATTACACATTTTATATTATATATAAATATATTTAAAGCTGCAGTCCGTAAGTTTTGCCTCTTTGTCGCCATCTCCGTTTGAAAAGCTGGAATTGCAGCTGTGTGCTGAATTATCTAGCTTGCGTGGGTTGTGCTCCGGTGCGGCTCTGGCGCAGATGAATCTAATGTTTTGAGGAGTATGTGTGTGTGGCAGTCAGTCACCGCACCAGTGTGGATATTTACTGTACTTCGCAATCACAGATTCTAGCCTACGTCTTGGAATATGACCCAAATAAGAATTTTCACTGTATATTGCCATCTGAACGAGTAAGTAACGAGTCTGCCACGTTTGTTCTGACCAACTGAGGAAAACAGCATTACCATAAATCTCGCTACCAATGGTGATTAAATCTAAAGATCGGTTAATTAGCTCATATCACATCAAACCGTTCAGATTATTATTATTGTTATACTTTATTCTCAGATGATTAATGTTAACAACATCAGCATTGGTGACTATGAGTATAGTGTGTATTTGTGAGTAGATTTCAATTTCTGCACAGTCTAATCTAATTGTCATACTCTCATATGAAGAAATTCGTTTAACCCAAAAAGCTAATTATACTCCCTTCAAACTGGTTTTCTTTAAAATACAAATCTTTGTAATCCCAGGCTATCTGTGATCAGAAGCACATTTATAACTGGAATATAATTTAATTTCATTCACGTGTGTTTCATAAACACATAATCCTTTCTGGATTACAATCCGCCATCAAAATGATACATTTAATTATTCTGGCTGCTGTGAGAAAAGGATTGGTCACCTGCAGGATCCTCATATGCGATAGCCTAGCAGCCGGGACAACTTCTTTATGTTTACAGACGTGACGTAATGACGCAGTGGCATGCTCGAATTTCCCGCGAAAACCTACCTGTACCACTCAAATTAGAAAACATTATTATAAGCTTGCTTGCTACGTGTACTGCGTTAGGCTAACCGAGACTTGTCATTTGCACTTATATATTGTTGCTCTTTTGTTGATTTTGATTGCTTGTATTGTCCTCACTTGTAAGTCGCTTTGGATAAAAGCGTCTGCTAAATGACTAAATGTAAATAAGCTAACCGTTGTGAATCAGGCTAAAGTAAGGCGATAGTTTCGAACACTGGCTGGTTATGTACTTGCTCAAATATTGATTTTGGATAATTTTTAACCAAAAAAAGTTACGGACTGCAGCTTTAAGTATGTCATGTGGTGCAACCATCAAATAAAAAGTGAATACATAGGATCCTCTGATTTTTTTTAAACATTTATCTTTTAGGTTTGTAAGTTTTGTTTGTTTGTTTGTTTTTAAACAAACATCATCCTTCATAGTACGTTATTATGCAATGCCGAAAGCCCATATGGAATTACAGAATCTAGTCATAAAAATTTAATTTATTGTATAAAGTGGAATTTGGCAAAATTGGGATGAGTAAAACATTAGAAATGTTGTAAACGTAATTAAATCAAGATATGGATTTGTGAATCGGGGTTATTATTAACTAAAAAAAATTTAACTAAATGTAAAACAAAATATTATATATATTATTATTGCATTTTAATAAATCAAATATTTTCATTGCTTAAAATAAAACTAACATTTACAAAAAATATATATTTTTAAATACATTAACTTATTTTAAGTTTAAAATGAGCAATGTTAACACCTGCAGGATCCCCACATGCGATAGACTAGCAGCCGGGACAACTTCTTTATGTTTACAGACGTGACGTAATGACGCAGCGGCATGCTCGAATTTCCCGCGAAAACCTACCTGTACCACTCAAATTAGAAAACATTATTATAAGCTAACCGTTGTGAATCAGGCTAAAGTAAGGCGATAGTTTCGAACACTGGCTGGTTATGTACTTGCTCAAATATTGATTTTGGATAATTTTTAACCAAAAAAAGTTACGGACTGCAGCTTTAAGTATGTCATGTGGTGCTGTTTTTCTTAAATATATACATGCATGTGTGTGTATTTATATATACATAATAAATATACACAGTACACACACATATTATGTAAACAAAAACTTTTATTTTGGATGTGGTTAATCACGATTAATCGTTTGACAAACATAAGTGGGGAGATAATAGCACCCCCGTGTGGCTGTTTAGTGGATGGTTAATGTATTATTTAATAATTACAGGGGTTTTTTTTCAACTGCTTACATACAAAATCTTTACTTGTAGTCACACAGTTTCTGAAAGCTGACACTCAAACAGCAGAAGCACACACCAAATCTGCAAAACCATACACTAATTCTCAGCCTTTGGCTCCGTTTTCAATTTTATAAAACACTTTTTGCAAAACACAACAAGTGTTTCTCTATGTAACACACAAAAATCTAACAGGAATTGATATTATGGCAAAAGTGTTTGCAAATGTTTGCTTTTGAGATCTGTTTGTGATATTTTGAATGCAGTGCTTCATTTTGCGAAAGATGTGAGGCATTTTGTATTTTGTGAGTGCAATTCTTAGATTTGTGTGTAAAGTTTTGAAAAAAAGAGGCAAAGTTTTGAAAATGTGTGTAAGCAGTTGAAACAAACCGTAATAATGTGGGCATTGAAGTTTTTTATCCTCTTTTTTGAGTCTCTTCTTCTCACCAAGGCTGCATTTATTTGATCAAAAATACTTTAAAATTGTGAAATATTATTACAATTTAAAAGAACCGTTGTCTATGTGAATGTATTGTAAAATGTGATTTATTTCTGTGATCAAAGCTGTATTTTCAGCATCATTACTCCAGTCTTCAGTGTCACATGATCCTTCAGAAATCATCACATAAGTGCAGCTTTGGTGAGCAGAAGAGACTTATTTAAAAAACATTACAAATCTTACTGATACTTTTGACCGTGTGTGTGTGTGTTCTCTCTCTCTCTCGCTCTCTCTCTGTGTGTCTGTGTGTGTGTTTATTTGTGTGTGTGTGTGTGTTTGTTTGTGTGTGTTTCTCTGTGTGTGTGTTTGTGTGTGTGTGTTTGTTTGTGTGTGTGTGTTTGTGTGTGTGTGTGTTTGTTTGTTTGTGTGTGTGTGTGTTTGTTTGTTTGAATATATGAATGCACCGAACAAAACACTTCTACACATTGTGCTTCAGGGAAACTCTACAATATTCCAGTGAGTTTGTGGCTGACTTATGAAGGCCGTGTTCAGTGAAGTTCCTCCTCTGCATTTGCGTCTTTACCCAGAAGATTGTGAGTATAGTTTCCTTATTCGTTCCTCTTGCTTATCTGTGTAGAGCAGCTTCACTCCTGAATCCCTTCTCTGTCCTTATTACTTCAAGGAAACAGATAAACATGCAGTTTAGACCTAGTTTAGGTGATTTGAAATATGATAAAGTGTCCAAAGGTTGATGTGATTTTATGTTTTGATTAACTGGAAATGACCATTGTGCACCAACACTGTAAAACAACAGAAAAACATGGCATTTTGATACGGTTGCTGCATTGTTTTTTTGTTGCATTTGTGTGGATATTTAGGTCAAATTAACATTTATGTTTCTTTACAGCAGGTTCTGCTTATCAGAAACGCTCAGTTGAGGAAATCTCACACAGAGAGATTTCGCTGGACAGAGAGAGGACGATCTTCCTTTCTCCGAGCTTAATGAAACCGTCTGTTAGCTTGCTAGATGTACTGTATACGATTTGATTTAGCAGTTTGTACACATAGTTTCTTGTTAAAGTAGACCCTTGCATGAAACTGTAAATGTTTGTTTAAAGACAATAATAATGAGTGTTGAATTTGAGCAGCACGAATATAAATACTCAATTTTTATGTACATTATGTAAATATGAAGCAGTGTTTTCCTAGTGATACATAGGCCTACTCAGTTTATTCTCAGTCAATGTTTTTTTTTTCATTTATTCATTTTTTGACCTGTATCATATCAAAAATACCTTCCTAAATATGTAAATATTAGTGCTGTCAAACGATTAATCGCATTCAAAATAAAAGTTTTTGTTTGCATATACAGATGCATCTCAATAAATTAGAATGTTGTGGAAAAGTTCATTTCAGTAATTCAACTCAAATTGTGAAACTCGTGTATTAAATAAATTCAGTGCACACAGACTGAAGTAGTTTAAGTCTTTGGTTCTTTTAATTGTGATGATTTTGGCTCACATTTAACAAAAACCCACCAATTCACTATCTCAACAAATTAGTGTGTATGTTTATTATATACATATAAATACACACACAGGCATGTATATATTTCAGAAAAATATGCTATTTTTATATATTAAATATATTTATTTATAATATAAATTATATGAATATAAATATAGACATGTAAATGCATGTAAATATTTACAAAATGTATACTGTATGTGTGTGTCTTTACACACATATATATATATATATATATATACACACAGAGCACACATATATTATGCAAACAAAAACCTTTATTTTGGATGCGATTAATCGTTTGACAGCACTTGTAAATATGCAGATATAAACAGTGGTAAACAAAGATCCCAGATAAATAACAATCACGTCATATTCTCTCACATTTTATGAACAAGTTTTATATATATTAAAAAAGACCAAAAAAAAAGTTGGATACTATTAAGTTGTATTCATTAAATTGCCAAGTGTTGGTTTTGTCTGTGGAGGTTTATGCATAATAACTGTACAATGTGAACCGACCTTAACTATGAGAATGACAAATACAAGATGATCAATTAGACCACAGGCATTATATATATATTTTAAAACACATATC